TAGAGTTATAAGAGGTGTCAGGGCTGTTTTTCCCATTCCGCTCACTCTAGCATCTAGGACATATGGTCTGTATAGTAAATCTAGGTTGGAAATTATGTCTTGCAGCTAAGCTTCCTGCCATTTCCTGAAGATCAGGGCCACAGGTGGCTAAATATGTAAGAGAAGAGAAAAACAGAATGCAAAGGGAACCCTGTCAGTGTAAGGAATGTGAAGCTGTGTCTTATGGCTCACCAGTGAACCACACCTGGGAGACACTTTCCCAAGGTAATGAGCATGGTTGATGTGACTGGGATAATTCCAAGCTTTTTGCCCATCCAAATATCCCACCCAGGAGACGAAGCCAGTATATGTGATGAGCGCAGGGCAGTGTATCTGTCAGGGCTCAAATTATAATGAGCATCAGGGAATCCACACAGTAGAGAAGCTTGAAGAATATACTGTGTGAGGAAAAAAGCTCCATCTCACTGGCAAGTCTGCTCATGTATCAAGGAATGTGCTAGAGAAAAACCTTGTAAGCACAAGGAAGGGGGAAGTTATTCCATTTGTGATCACTGGCAAACCCACCTAGAAATTTTAAAACAAAAACAAAACATTAACCCTCTAAATGTGAGAAGTGTTAGTTCCTACACTAGAAAAGGTCAAAAGACTTGAGCCTCAGTTTCTTCATCTCTAAAATGAGGAAATTGGGCTAGAAAAGTTCTTAACCTGGGGTCCATGAATTAAAATATTTTGATGATTACATTTCAATTCAATTTGTTTCCTTTGTGTTCCTATATATTTAAAAATATCACATACATACATGGGTTATGGGGAGCAATGGATGGAGTGCTAGATCTGGAGTCAGGAAGATCTGAGTTCAATAAGTCTTCAGACACTTACTAGCTATGTGACCCTGGGCAAGTCACTTGACCTCTATCTGCCTTAGTTTCCTCATCTGTAAAATGCAGATAAAATAGCACCTACCTTTCAGGGTTGTTGTGAGGATGAAATACTTGTAAAGTGCTATACAAATGTCAGTTACTATATTCTGAGGAATCTAATTTTCACCAGACTGCCAAAGGGGTGCATGACACAAAAAAGGTTAAGAACCCCTCTACTAGATGATTCCTCAGGCCCCTTCTAGGTTTACATCCTTAATCCTGACTCCACACACAATGAAGGAAATGATTTCTGTTGGCCTCTTGTCTGAAATTAAAATGCATGTATTCACATCAAGATAAACATTTCTCTATCTCAGCTCCTATAAGGGAATGGATGCTTCCAAAGTGGCCAGTGCTATCCTTCCTGACAGAAATGGCCAGTTTCTCAAAACTAAAGTCAGATAGATAGGAGAAAAGTAGAAGGCGGCAAAGAGGGAAAGGGGGATGGATAGTCTCCCACCTAATACCAAAGTTAACACATACATGGTGTGGAAGGGGAGCAAAAACAGGTTGGGATAGCCTGTATGTCTTTGCTTTAGCTGTTTCCCCGTGCCTAGAATATTCTATCCCCTGACCTACAACTCAAGTTTTACTGGTTTCTTTTAACATTCAGTTCAAATCTTATTTTCTACAAGAGGCCTTTCTCTTCTATATTCCCTCTCATATACTATATGTCCTAGTTATCACTCCATTTAGAATGTATGCTGCCTGAAGGCAGAGTCCTTTTTTTTTTTATTAAACCTTTTTTTTGTATTCCCAGAACTTAGCAGAGTGCCTAGCACTGATAAGCACTAAATTCTTGACTGAGCATAAGGCAGAACCAAGGAATAACCACACATTTATGTAGTGCTTTAAGGTCTGAAAAGTGCTTTCCTTACAACCTCAGTGAAATAAATGCAAATATTATCTCCATTGTACAAATTAGGAAACTAAGTCTCTCTGAGGTTAAGTGACTTGCTCAGGGTCACTCTGTCTGAAATATTAGCTCAAAGCAGGGCAACTAGGGTGATAAGTCCTAAAGACTATGTCACTAAATAGTCACAGACTATTTAACAATAGTTAAAGGAAATGGGCATGTTTACTCATGGAGAAAACTGGAATATGAAAGCTGTCTTCATGTATCTGAGGTATGGTCATGTAGAGAAGAGAAAACTTGTTTTCCTTGGCCCTATAGGGCAGAACCTGGAGCAATGAAGCTGCAGACTGGTGGATTTAGGCTTAAAGTAACAGAAATCTTCCTGAAAATTACAACTGTCCAAAAGTGGAAGGGGCTGCTTCCAGGTAATAAGTTCATAATTACTGGAGGTCATTAATGGGGGGCTAGATGACCACTTGTTGGGGATATTATCTGAGGGATGATAGATGTGGGTTGGATTAGATGCCCTCTTTCTAGCAATAACCCTCCAAATCTCTGTTTCACAGAATCATAGATCTCAGTGCTCCAGAAAATGGAAGGGTTCAATTCCCACGATTTCCTCAGTTCTAGGAGTTGGACTCGGAGATCCTACAACCCACGAGCCATTGTATCGTCACCAAACTATTCAGAACTCCATATCTCTGGTCTTTCCTTGAAGGCCTCAGTTTTAAGATATACAGTTTTAATCTGAGGATTCCAACCTCATATCTCCATAACATGGGAAATTCAAGATCTGGTCAGAAATGGGAAGGGGAATCTTATTCAGCTCTGCAGAAGAATACTGGAACCTGTGGTGCCCACCTGTCGAAGGAGAGAAATCTGGTTCTATACCCTCTAGGTACTGCCTCTTACAACCACAATGGGGCTCTTTCCTGACTTGAGTATGAACTGGGATCCATCAGTTTATGGCCTGAGGATGTTATGGGCAACTGGGTAAGGTGGAGGTGCCAGCTGAGTCCATGGAGTTGCACTTAGGGGAGTAGGTAGTGTCTAGTGGTTGGAGGACATTAGTTATCTATGGCACACAAACATCTAAGCTTGCCTTCCTCAAGGAGATGATATACTGTACAGGTAGGTGTGGGTTCATGAGATCTATTAGTGGGAAGTGGTTCTATTAGAGACTCAGAAATGAAGATACTGAAGACTAGACTGATGTGCTGCAACTGTATCATCAACCAGCTCCCTGAGAATTCCAATAAGTCATTCTTAAAGACAAGAGAAGAAGTTTCAGTGATCATTTTATTGAGGAAAACATGTTTGCCCACGTATATGTCTATAATGAGAATGTGGATACTGGCCACTCCCATATTCAGGTCCAGTCTCACTGTCCTATAGGAACAGGGGTGTATCTCTTCTGATCCAGATAGAGTGTGGTTGCTGCTGTGACCTCAGGCTGCTCCTCCACAGCATGGACTGGTTCTGGCTTTGGCTCCGGCTTCTCAGCCTATGCACCATATGGGTTGGGGGAAGCGTAGTGCCACAACTTCCCCTACTTGGTTCGTTGGTAGAACTGGAAAACCGCTTTCTCTTGCTCATGGGTCTCGACGGAACCTGGTCGCAGTCGCCGAATCTCTGCCACAGCTTCTCCCCCTGCCAGGCCTTTCTCCTTCACTAGATAGCAGGCCAGCATAGTGCCTGTACGCCCATATCCCAGGGCACAATGAACCCCTACAGCCTGTGGGGATGGGGCTCAGTGGGGACAGGGTCCCAAAGGCCCTGTACCCTCTCAGTCCCAGGGTTTTTAGGCTCCAGCCATTCACAGGACCACTGGATTAGAGATTTCTAGCTGCCCAGAGAAATTAAGTGACTTGCCCAAGGTTACAGAAAGTAGCAGAGCTAGTATTTGAATCCAGATACTGCCTCCCTAACCTCCCAGGAAGACCTGGAGCATTCCCCCCTTCTTTAAATATGCCTAAGAATTGGGCACAGGTTATGACTAACATCAGAAGAAGGAGGTAGCCTGGTCTGGGGACTATCCACTTATGCCTTTGAAGGAGAGAAGCAGCAGGTCCCAAGCTCAACTTCCCTTGCTGGGTAGGGTGGATGCTCCAGCTGAGCCAAAGAGTGGTACCTGGAGTAGGAGGCAGCATCTATGGGTTGGGATACAGCAGTTATCCATTGTACACATATGCCTAAGCCCTCTCTTGTCTCAAGGAGGAATGAGGGACTTATAACTACAAATGACTCTAGTCTCGGGATCTCTGCCAGTCAGAGGGTGTTCTTTGAGGCACAAGGGTCTTGCTCTTCAGGTATTTCCCTCTCCCCCCAGGCTTAGAATTTTCTTACCTTAATTTCTTTTCCTTCTGATGCTTCCTTTACTACAACCCTGTCCCCTGATCTACCCTCAGCAATCTTTGACCATCTTCCTTGCTGTAGTGCCTTAGAGACCTTCTACCTTCTACTAGCCAATTCTGCTGGTGTCAATAACTTGTTTTCCTGTCAGCATTCACATCCCTCAAGCTGTGAATGTTACTCTTTCCCACCACTGACTGACTTTCCTTTGATCCCTGACAATTATTCACCATCCTCCCTTCCCTTTAACCTTGCTAGCTTCCTTAAGGACATCTGCTCAAATCCCACCTTTGGCAGGAGGTGGCTTTCCTGCCTTTTTCCATTTACTCTGTGTGTGATATATATATGTGTATTTATATGTATGATATATATCCAAATACATACATATGCACACACATAAACTCTTTATTCTGTGGATTCCTTCATACACATGGGTATAGATATATAAGTGCAGGCACACATATACCTCTGTGTATATACTATATATCCATATATAAGTATATATTTTACCTACATATTTATCTTCTATAACTCCCCCATCAGAATGTGACCTCCTTTAGGGCAGGAGCTGTTTTTGCCTTTCTTAGTAGCCCCAGACCTTGGCACAATGCTAGGACTGACCACCCTCCCCACCTATCATCCAGGTGGCCGGGCTCTTCCTGGCCACACTGCCCCCCTTTTCCACGGCTCTCTCCGCCCCCCACCCCACCCCCCCGCGCGCCTCCCCCCTCAGTTCTCTGGGGCCCGCTGACCCCGCCCCCTCCAGCTCTCTGGGCCCGCTGACCCCGCCCCCTCCCTCCCCAGTCCCTGACCATCCCGCCCTCGCTCCGCAGGCTGACCTCTCCCCGCGCGTTAGCTTCGTCCACGAGGCGCACAAAACGATCGATCTGCTCTGGCGCCGGCGGGCAAAAGTCGGGGATGCGGAGCCGGTGCACGGTGAGGCCAGGGCAGGTATCACGGTGGGGAGGCCCGCGCTCCGTCAGGGACACAAGGTGCCGCACTCCCTGAGCCCACAGGAACTGGTAGTGGGCGGGGAGCCGGGGCAGTGCCAGCCCCGCCAGGCGGCCCGGGAGTACCCAGGAGAAGTTGGGGGGCTTGGAGCCCATAGCTATAAGGGAGCTGGGGACGCCGGGGTCATTGGGGACACCGGGGTCATTTGGGACTGCCCAGCCCCGCCTCCCCGGCCCCGCTCCGCCTCGCGCCCTCCACCCTCTTTGCGGCCACCGGCGCTCCTTGTAGCGAGAGTCGAGCTGGCCCCGCCCCTCACTCCGGGGATTGGCTGATCATCGGGAATGGGGCGGAGCAAGACGCTGGAACTCCTTGTTACGAGGGACCGCTTTCCCAGTGGCCTAGCGGACTTAAGTCTATTGGCTAATTTGTTATGAATGGGCGGGAATTATTAGAACGGCTTACTTGGTGATTGGTAAAGCTGCTCTATCAGCTGATTAGGGTGACAGACGAAGCCAAGGAGTTTACTCGAAAAGTGGAACAGCTCTCCTGGATGCCAGGCTCTGCTGCCTCCTAGCCGCGGCTGTGAGATAATTCACCGCTTGTGGATCACCCGGCATATTTCCCTTTTAGGTCTTATTTGTATCATACTATTCGTTTCCTTTTCACTGGATTTTTCTTAAGCCCCTGTTGTGTGCCGAGCCTTGAGCTAGGCACTGGGGGAGATTCGACGACGCAATAATTTGGCTGCACAAAGACAGGCATCCAGTGTGTTTTCAGCTGTGGTCAGAGTACATGTGCAATGGTGTCTCCTAGGCGCCATGTTTTAGGAAGGATATTTATTAGCCCCCTGGTGAAGGGCTATGACGTCATGCTCTATGGGGGACTGAACTAGGACAGCGTAGGGGTTGGAGTAGGGACTGGAATTATCTAAATTATGCTTGTCTCCTGGGAGGGCCGAAATAGGAGCTGCGAAGAAGTAAATTTAGATTTGATTTAAGGGGAAAACTGATGAAAGGAAGTGGAGTTTCCCCGGCCTGAGGTCTTCAAGCAAAGGCAGAATAACCACTTGTGGGGTATGAAGTGAAGAGAATTCTAGTTCATCTTGAGCTCAGTATCCCCCCAAGATTCCTTGCACCTCAGATGTGACTCAGTGACTCAGACCCTGGCCTCCTGGAGTTGGCAGGGGAATACGACTCATACACAAGTAACTCCAATGAAATATTAAGCATGAGAAATGCGTAGGAAAGATCCAATAGGGAGTATTAATTAGCCAATTTAAGTTATGCATTGCCCTCCTCTCTTGCTCCCTTGTCCCTTGGCTAGTATGCTCAAACCTTCTCCCTCCTTCCAAACTCCTTTATTACTACTATCACGGGCACCGCCATTCTCAGTCACCCAGGCTCGCAATCTAGGTGTCATCCTCACCTCACTTTTTCTCACCCCCATTTCCAGTCTGTTGCTAAAAACTGTCGATTCTACTTTCCCAGCATCTCCATTATAAGCCGGCCTCTTTCTTCTGACACTGCCTCCACCCTGGTACAGGCCGTCATAATATGACGTTGGGACAGTTGCTCTGCCTGCTGCAAGTCTTCCCCCATTCCAGTCCATCCTCCACCTAGCTGTCAAATTGATCTTCCTGAAGTGCAGGTCCTCCCCCCTCCCCCTGGCTCCCTACCATCTTCAGGATCAAAGATAACATTCTCTGTTTGACTTTAAAAGTCCTTTATAACCTGACTCCTTCCTACCTTTCCAGTCTTCTTACACCTTATTCCTTCGGGTATATGGGATGTTCAGGGAGGAATAGCATCTCTTGTGTGAGGGCTTGCTGAACCCTTTTCAGGACAGCTCATTTACCTCTGGTGTCCATCCAACTCTCACCTATGACTCTAAGAAGCTGTGGCATGCACAGTGGTACCCATCTTGGCAGATGGGTTATACCAGGTTGAGAGGAACTGACAGGTCTCATACCATTGGTGAGTTAAGGGGATGTCTACTCCAAACATGTGAAGACTTCTCCCAATGGAATAGGCAGATGAGAACAATTTGTTCCAATGGCCATAAAGGTGCCTGAAGCAGGCACTGTATAGCACTTAAGAACTTTGTCCCGAGGTCATCCACTGCATCCTGAGTCATCTCCAGTCATCCTGACTTTTGTCTTGCCACTGGACTTCAGTGACCCTGGAAGAGTGAGGCTGATGACTTTGCTCAACTCTCCTCACTTAAATCCAATACATGAGCAAGTCAGGATATCACCCCATGATATCATTGGTCCTCTAAGAAAACATGGGATGAACAACACCACTTTATTCCCCTTCCTGTACTCTGCAATCTGGTCCTTGATATTCTTTAGACAAAACACTGACATTCCATCTCCCAACTCTCCATCCTTTTTCACTGGCTGTTCCTCATGCTTGGAATCCTTTCCCTCCATATCTCTGCTTCCTGGCTTCTTTTAAGTCTCAACTGAAATCTCTCCATTTGCAAGAAATCTTTCCCAATCTTCCTTAATGCTAATGCCTTCCCTCTGAGATTACCTCCAATTTACCCTGTATATATCTTGTTTGTATGCAGTAGTTTGGATGTTGTCTCTTCTATCACTGTGAGTTTCTTGAGAGCAAAAATTGTTTTTGCTCCTCCTCCCCCCACCCTTTTTGGTATCTCCAGAGCTTAGCATAGCATCTGGCATATGTTGTTGGTCAGTTGTATCTGACTCTTCATGACCGCATGGACCATACTGTCCATGGAGTTTTCTGGTCAAAGATACTGAAGTGGTTTGCCATTTCCTTCTTCAGTGGATTAAGGCAAACAGAGGTTGAGTGACTTGCCTAGGATTACACAACTAGTAAGAATTTGAGGCCGGATTTGAACTCAGGTCTTCCTGACACCAGGCCCAGCACTATGTTCGCTGAGCTATCTAGCTGTATTTTCTGGCACATAACAGGTGCTTAATAAATGCTTGTGGACCTGATGTAACTGTTGCTTCCCAATGACTCCTCATCTTTACTTCCCAGCTCCCAGACAACAATGAAATCCTCCTTTGCAATAAAGAATCAGTTAAAATAAACAAAAAACTGGCCATACCTAACAACATATTCCTCATTCTATAGTCCACCACCTATCTGCTGGACTATGCTTCATCTTCAATCACCTAAAGTTACTATTGATCATAGCATTTATCAAGAGTCCTGCTTTATTTCAGTGGAATCTTGAAATTACCTTATTGTTGTCATCACATAAATTATTCTCTTAGTTCTGCTTATTTTATTTGCTATCTGTTGCTATAGGTCTTCCCATATTTCTTGGAATTCTCCCTATTTGTTGCATCTTACAGTGTAATAATATACTACTACACTCACATACTGTAATTTATTTAATCATTCCCCAAACAATAGGCACTCACTTTGTTCGTAGTTTGCTTTTGTTTTGTTTTGGAGAGAGTACCACAAAAGTGCTGCTATGCATATTTATATAGGGTTTATTTCCATCTTATCTTTGATCTCCTTGAGGCATAGTCCAATAGTGGTATAACTGGGTCAGTGGGTACAGAGTGTTAATTGATTTTCTAGTATAGTTCCAAATTGTTTTCAAGGATGGAGGGATCAATTCACAGTTCTACCAGCAGTACATTAGTATGCCTGTATTTCTAGACCAGAGTCAAGTTTTGAAATCTGATGAAAGTGCAAGGCTACTTCACACCTTTATAAAACCAAACAGAATCATCAATTGAGTTTGCTCAGAGGCCAGGAGAATTGCCCAATACTAAATACTATAATTTGCAAGTTCACTATTCACTCTACTCATAGTTTAACTGTTGTTGCTATTGTGGTTTTTAGAGCTGGAAGAGACATTAGAGATCATGTAGTCCAACTGCCTCATTTTATAATTGAAACTAAAGCCCAAGGAAGAATTGATTATTTCAGGATAGGTCCTTGAGTTCCAGCCTGTTGCCATTCCAAGGGTGGCAGACCTTTAGGAAAAGCTCAATAGCACATTTGAGGGAAACTTGTCTGTTCCTTGAGCTATAGCATTTTAGGATTTTACTTGGCTCACTATTGTTAGTGCTGCAGAAGAAGGAATCTTTGGAATAGTCCTCTTTCTCTTGCTTTAAAGCCTTTGTCCTTTTTCTGTCTCTATTTGAATTCTACCCATCCTTCAAGCCCCAGCTCAAGACATACCCCCGTCAAGCAGCCTCTTCTGACTACTCCAATGTGAACTGATCTTGATGTTCTGTGAGGCTTCGAAACAACATTTAGCCCTTGGTTGCTAGATATGCTCCTTCATAGTGAGCTCTCTGAACTCTTCCCATTGATGGGCATTACACAGAGGCTAGGCAATTTCTTGACAAAAGTAATGGATTTATAACTGGAAAGCATCTTATAGCTCTTATGTGAGGAAGTCACTTAATCCAAACCCTTCATTTCAGAGAAGAGAAAACTGAGGCCCTTGCTATACAGGTAATAAGTAGGTAGCAAAGCCAGGATTTGAACCCTGGTGGTCTGAATCTAGATTTAGTGCGATTGCTCTTATACCACATTGCTTCACTGATTTGCAGCATTCTGTAGTTGTTTAATGCCTAGAGTAGCTAGCTGGGCCTGGAGTAAGGAAAACTTTTCTTTGTGAGTTCAAATCTGGCCTCACACATTTACCGGCTGTGTGACCTGGGGCAAGTCACTTAACCCTGTTTATCTCAGTTTCTCCATTTGTAAAATGGGCTGGAGAAGAAATGGCAAACCATTCCAAGATCTTTGCCAAGAAAACTCCAAATGGGGTTTTGGACATGACTGAAAAAAGTGACTGAACAAGAACAACTAGTTGGTTAATATATCCTGTAAGTTTTGTTTCCTTTTCAAGACGGCAAATTTCCGGAGCAAATGTGTCTTGTATGTGTCTTGTATGTCTTCTAGGACTGTAGTAGGGATAGTCCAGCTGTTTTGTACATATTGTCATGATGGCTGTTTTGGAGGCAGTTCTCATGAAGATGACCA